TGTCTGCATCAAACATGTCCTCTGAAAAAGCATAAATTTTATCAAACATTGTTTCTTACCACAGTCTCTCATTAAGTCATTGGCTATACTAACGGTGCCTGATGATCTTAATAAAATGCTAGCAAATGATTTCAATTTGTTATGATCATAGGCTACTGCTGTGTATATTTCTCTCATTGCATCATCTGTTAGTGTGTATCCACAACTCTTCACTTCCCTCAATGTCTCTTCAGATATCAGTCCTTCTGTATGTAACAGATGAACTGATTCTTCAGAAAGTGTTGCTCCAGATATTCTACTACTGTAATGCTGTAGTAGCTGGCTAACCACTGGGAAAGGAGTATTACAATACATTATATTGAATCAGAATTGACTTTACTTGTTTTCTCAATATTTTCAGCCACTGCTTTTCCTTCTAACTTTTTAAGAGCACTAGCCAATGTCTTCCAAGTAGGAGGATACACATTTTCATCAGCTTTACTCAGCCACTTGGATAAACACTCCATGAGACAACGTGAAGTATTTCCTCTATGATTAGCATCAATAGCTTCCAGTGTAGGGTAAAGGAGACCAAGCTTTAACCCAAACTTAAACCATTTTGCTTCAGGAAAATTGTACTGCTCCAAAATTTCTATAATCTCATTTAAGTTGCTAATATCTAATGATAAAGTAAACACATACTAAGAGGAATAAAGATAAACTCACCTAAAATAATAGGGAGCATTCTTGCTGGCTTGGTTGATGCCATTTTACTGTTGAGCCAGGAACTATCTCTTAATACCTAATAAGGTTGTGGTCAGACTTTGGGCTAGACAGCCCTAGCAATGAAACTATATAACATAATTAGATCTACACACTGTCACGTAGTATGACATTTCATAGGATTTATTTACTACTGTGCTAATCCAATTAGTTCAATTCTGAAGTGAATTACAATTCTTTATAATCAGTTCAATTCTGCAGTAATCGCCAATAAACTGTAGTAGAACTAGGCAAATTAGGAAGCAAAAACACAAGTCATCTAAAATAAAAACTTCTTTCACATTTTTTGATACAGACTGATGCTATGGGTGTTTTCAAAGTATAGACAGCTTCTGCTTTAAATTGGCTGCCAATCATCTATAAAATTTTATTATATATATATAAAATTGTTTTTTTTTTGCCACACTACATTAATTAGTTTGCTTTTTTATTTAAATGCATTATTGTTAATATCTCCTTTTATAACTAAATACTTCATAAGAGTTGAGCTGTCATTCAATGCATGCATAGAATTATAATAATACAAAATTTTGTAAAAAACTTATGATCAAAATTGGATTTTGCAAAGTTGATGTTCTCATACTATGTTAAAATTTGAGCCAATTCTGAGCTCAAATTCTGAAGCTATGAGCATGTTTTAAAACCTAGGAAATTAAAGCATGGACTATATAGCCCTTTTTACAAAAAATGGCTCCAAAATCACCCCAAATTTTTATTACATTTTTTGGTACATATTAATGTCCTTATGCTATGTAGAAAGTTTGAGCCAATTCGTAGCTTGTTATGAGGACTTTTTTAAATTATGGATTCCAAAAATTGGCTTGAAAATCACCCAATTTTTAATTACATTATTCAATACATTTTGATACCCTTATGCTATTGTAAAAAAGTTTGACAATTCATTAATATTTGTAATATGGTATTTTGAACAGGAAAAGGAACTCTCGTAGAAGAAGAGTAAAATACGCCATCTTAGATCACAACAGAGAAGAAGGAGTTCAATCAAGAATGTTTGCTAAAGGTAATAAGGACATTACCAGTTTACCATATCACGTGACTATCACATGACTGTCTCATGTGTTCATTGCAGATAAAAGCAGTCTAATTAGTAAGACCATTGTGGTATTAATATTTTGGACCATGGACTATGATGGGGTGAAGGCCTGGTATTGTTAAAGATTTTGATCATTTGCTCAAATGCAATTATTTGTTTGCACCATCATTTAAGTTTAGTTATTTTACATCATGTATGCAAACTATGCATTCTGTTGTCTCTTATAAACAAAATGTTTTACATAACCATGTGACATTTAGTGTAAACAAAACAAATGCATTCTGTTTGTTTATTCATTAACATTATAGATTGAAAGGAGAAAGGAAATGAGAATGGAATGCATGGCTCTGTTGCTTCCAAATAAATATTTACAAATAACTTATTTTATATTCGAGAAGTATATCAATAATATAGTCGAAACTAGGCCTTTCATTGTCTTTATATTTCCAACAGTTTATCATAAGTTGTTTAAATGGTTCAGGACAATCTCGGGGTATGGGCATATGATAACCTTTTGGTACTGCCTCCTTTACTTTTTCATCAGTCATACCAGGATATGGTCCATTTCCTTTGGTAGCCAGTTCCCATAGTAATATACCAAATGACCAAACATCAGATTTAATACTTATTTGCTTTAAAGTGTATGCTTCAGGTGCTGTCCATCTTATAGCTAGCTTAGTTCCTTTCTCAACAGTCCAGTATTTATTGCCATTGAGGTGTTGAGCAAGATAAAAGTTTGCTATCTTGACAGTGTTATGATCTCCTAATAGTATATTGATGGCTCTTAGATCACAATGAATGTAATCTTGTTCTCCTAGATAAATCATACCATCAGTAACTTGAATAGCAATATCTACCAACTCTGCTGGTGTAGGATTATTTGTAATTAGGTAATCTTTGAGGTTTCTAGTCATTGGTTCTGTTACAATGTAAAAAGGATAACTTTCAGTACAAACACCATATAGACTGATGATGTTCTTATGATGAAGTTTTTTCAATATTCCAGCCTCTACAAGTAATGTTTCTTGTGTAATATTTGTTGCTATATTTGTTTTAATGATAACTGACCCTTCACCTTGACAATTACCCTTCCATGTCTCTCCAAAGTGTCCTGCATGCATGCATTTTAAAAACTTGATTGCCATTTTATTAATTTCCAACTCTTTATTTATTGCAATGGGTTTGTTTACATGCTTGGGTATAGGAACTGTTAATGAGCATGGTAGACCATGAGCTTCAGTCATGTAGTGATGTACCAGGTCATTGAGTGAGTCAAACTTGACACGAGGGTATATATAATACTTATTATTCTCAATGGATATATGGTAGTGCCTGATAGTAGCTCCATCTTTAACGGAAAGAGTATTTGTTCCAGATATGCTCTCTCTAATTAGAAAAGTACCTGCTTGAGTGTCTGCTTGACTCAATCTCTCCTCTGCTTCATCACGACTCACTGTATGATAGTAGACATACTTGTAGTACCTATTGTCAATAAATAAAATATCTTTTAATCCAGCTTTGTTATAGCTTTAATTTCTTACATTGGTGAGTATTCTCCTTCAATAGGTAGTATATAATTAATTGGTACATATCCTTTACTGTCTGTATGAAGTGAATGCATATACCACCATTCATCATCTTCGTGATATTTAACAACTTCAAGTACTTCTCCTATAAAAGTACAATATTATTTAATGTATTATTGTTGCCAAACCTTTCTTTAAAGTTAAGTCATATACGCTTAGTCCTTCAAAATTATAACTAGCCTTGAATACTGTATATAGAACAAGTTCTATTAAATAAATATACGCCATACATGTTTATTTACATTTATCCTTTGTGGTCAATTCCCTCAATGATTTTAGTAGAGTAGGATCACTAGTAATTTTTTGTATAAAATATTCTGCTTTTTCATCATCATCAAGGAGAACAGGTAGGAGGAACAATCCTTCCTTTGTCACTGCAAACTGAAACAAGTAAAGTAATTCTACTCTTGAGTATCCAATGTATTTCATTGGAACAGCACTCTTCTGTCCAGTCTCCAGTGATTGTACCTCATGTCCATTTGCACTTAACTGAAGTAGTTCACCCTTTTTGAATGAAATATTTGTTTCATTATACTCATCTTGAGCTTCACAAATAGATCCATTGGATGATAGCACTGTCTGTGTAATTTTAACTTCTTTATCTATTGATGTCTGATTAGAATATTAATAAAGATATATACTTACTGTAAGAAGGTTGCATTTTAAGCAGCTCCACACTAATAGATGATATACTTTCCTGTAGTTCCCCAATTTCTCTTTCATTGTCTTGTAGTACTTGCTTTCGACCTGTTTTAAAGCACATGTATCAATGAAACATATGTATTATGTTATTATTAAACATGTATCATGTCATTAGAAGGTAAAAAAAATTATATACTTATTCTGATCCTTAGAGTAGATTGTAAATGTTCATTTTCTCTTAATAGCATTTGCTTTTTTGTACTTGCAGCCTTTTCTCTTTCCATTTGTTTGACTTTAAATTTAAAATCTTTATAATTATAATTACAATACTGAAATAATAATTATTTATGCTATACCTAATGCCTGCATGCTACTGTCGATAAATTCTAAAAATATCATAATTAATGATTATAAGTTAATGTAATGTCCCTACCTTGTTTGTGCTTTAAAGGTATAAGTTGTGCTGCTTGCCTAGCAAGAAGACCTGTGTATACATTCATTGATTTGATTTTATAAGCAAAATACTTGATCTCATACTTTCTTTGTCATTGTGGTATGGATTCATCTTTACTGATTCCCCTTCACACATTTCAATCTCCTCTGCAACAACCATAAGTTCCTTTAATATATAAAATTTCAAACAAACTCTAGTATATTTACTGTACTTTGTCTCTGATGGTCCTATCATAGACCTTGAAGTGTCCTATTCTCAATTTCATCAAAGCAAATTCTTCTTGTAGCACAGTAAGATTATCACAAGCCCTCAATTGCAAAGCATTCATTAGATGAGTAGGAGCACCACAAATGATAATGATGGAGTTCCCTTTATGCATGCTTTTGACTATGATCCTTCTGCTCAATCCTTTGAATGCTTTCTCCATTAAACGACGAATATCATTCAATAAGTGCTCAGCAGGATCCCAGTCTAGAACAAACTCAATTGTTTCACAAATAAAAAAATGGCTTGTTGAAAGCTTCTTATCAAGCAAGAACTGAAGCTTCAGTTTGTGACAGAACTCATCAAGTGTTTTATTATAATCAGATATCAATTGATTAGCTTCTGTTATACTATAGAAACTAACCACTTCCTCTACTGGTGCAATATTGATGACATTGCATTTGGTTTTAATAACTTTCATTACATCTTTCACTGTAGCAGCAGAGGTTAGGTTAGGACCTAGCTCAGGATAGCAATCATCAAGAAATTCTATGAAATCTTCAAGTTGGTTCACTCTTACAGTGTGAGATACCAGTCGAGTGACTTTGAAATAGAAAGTTCCAAAATTGCCTCTCATTTTGTCAAATTGATAAGTATACTCCTCTGAAATTTGAAACTCAAATTCTGTAACAATTAAAACTTGAATCATTTTAAAACTAGAGCTATAAAATACCTGTAATCCTGACACTTGATTCTTCAACTATGTAGATATAATTATTTTGGTTTTTAAAATACTAAAATTACCTGAATTTGGTGTATTGATAAATGATTGATTTTGCTCATTACTTTCTGTTCCAGAAAAAACATCCTCTGAAAAGGTACATATCTGAATGAATTTTTACCATCATTATTTTTGGTTCTTACCATATTCTCTCATTAAGTCATTGGCTATACTAACAGTGCCTGTTGATCTTAATAATATGCTAGCAAATGATTTCAATTTGTTATGATCATAAGCTACTGCTGTGTATATTTCTCTCATTGCATCATCTGTTAGTGTGTATCCACAACTCTTCACTTCCCTCAATGTCTCTTCAGATATCAGTCCTTCTGTATGTAACAGATCAACTGATTCTTCAGAGAGTGTTGCTCCAGATATTCTACTACTGTAATGCTGTAGTAGCTGGCTAGCCACTGGGAAAGGAGTATTACAATACATTATATTGAATTAGAATTGACTTTACTTGTTTTCTCAATATTTTCAGCCACTGCTTTTGCTTCTAACTTTCTAAGAGCACTAGCCAATGTCTGCCAAGTAGGAGGATACACCTTTTCATCAGCTTTATTCAGCCACTTGGATAAACACTCCATGAGACAATGTGAAGTATTTCCTCTATGATTAGCATCAATAGCTTCCAGTGTAGGATAAAGGAGACCAAGATTCAATCCAAACTCAAACCATTTTGCCTCAGGAAACCTGTATTGCTTCAATATCTGTACAATCTCATTTAATTTGCTAATATCTAATGATAAAGTAAACACAGATATCTATCTACTAAAAAAAAGAAAAACTTACCTAAAATAATAGGGAACATTCTTGCTTGCTTGTTTGATGCCATATTGCCATTGAACCAGGACTATCTCTTGATACCTAATAAGATATTCTGTGGTCAGACCTTGGGTTAGACAGCCCTAGCAATGAAGCTATAACATAATTAGATCTACACACTGCAATCTAATAATTGACACCACATAGGATTTATTTACTACTCTGCTAATGTATTAAATTTGTCATTTAATCTTAATAGACTAAATCTGCAGTAGATAAGTATCTACTAATTTAAACTAATAAGTAGTAGCATGGTGATTGTCTTAATATAAGAATAAAAAACATGTCATTTTAAATAAAAACTTTTGTTACTCTTCACAAACTGATTCCCTAAGGGTGTTTGAATAGAATGTACTGCACCTGCTTCAATTTAATTCGCCTGCTTTATTATTTGAACACCTTTACTTTTCATTATTATTATTATTTACATAATTATCATCACTTCTCTTATAATTAAACATCTGATAAGAGATGAGCCGTCACACACATAAATAATAATACAAAATTTTTTATACAAAACTATATAATGCTGTCACACGTCTCTTGTGCTACTTTGTTTATTCAAAAACTCTGCGAGAATTTTTTGAGAGCCAACGGCAGACCCATCCAATCTTTTGATACTAGTCAGACGAGAATAGAAAACTGGACAGTCTAGTGAGACACATTCCAAATAATGCCCACTCTTGATACTACCACAGCAATGCTGACAAATCTAAAGAAATAATAATCAATTGACCACACCCAGTTCTAAGCCATACCCAATAACATTTACTTTGCATAATTCAAAAAAGTTATTCTCGGTTTTAGAACCCAAAGAGGAGAGGCTAACAGCGACATTTTGAGGGTTTTTAGAACATTCCGGACATATGGGCGGGGTTTCACTTGTTATCGTCCCACATATTACGCAATGAGCAGACGCAAAGTACTGACTGATAGTACCTTTCTTGGCCCCGCCCACAACTGAAGGGAGCATCTGAGAGCGCGGGAGGTAATGGTACCATTGAAACACATCAACTCCGAGGAGAGAGAAGGAGCGGGAGAGAGCAGGAAGGATCTGTTTAGTTATGTAATAGTTTGAATTTAAACGGAGAGATGACGAAGCAGTGGTAAAGTCTTCAAGACTAGAGTGGAGAAAAAAATTGTCTTGTAAATTTTGTAGCATCTGGCGGTGCCATTTTAATAAAAAATCAACTCTTGTTCTAGTGAATAGCAAATTCTATCTCCCTTCCCTCCCCCTTCTCCCCCTCTTACCTTCTCACTAGTTGTATAAGAGGTAGTCCAGGTGGCCCATATACTATTACATATGGAACCCTTTCACCAACTAATGGCTCGGCCTGTCTATCAAGCAATGTCTTCTGCCTATAAAAGAAATACAAAATGTAGTAATGTACACATGTACATGTACATGTACATATCTTCTCCTTTCTTACTTTGCTATTTCTAGAGCAGCAACACAAGCCCCTGGACGGTACCCACTTCATCCACGATACTCTTTAGCAAATACAAAGTCTGAAGTGGGTACTCTACCATTGAGTATCTTAGTGCATTGAGACTGAACGTAGGACTTGACCAGAGAGACATCCTTAGTCGAGAAAAGTAGCTTTAGACTTTTCTCTAATATCTACAAAGACATAAAATATAAAAGCAGTTGAAATGTACTATATCAAAAATGTCTAGCAGAGAAATCTACTGACACACATACACATGTACCTTTGACACAGCAGGGCAGTTGTCCCTCCTCACAGTTTCTATTCCTTTTGCTTCAAACACTGGCTCTGACTGGTCCAGCGTCTCATACATGAATCCAGCATATCTCTTCTTTGTTTGCAATATACAAGATGAGTATACCTACATGTGTACATGTACATGTACATGAGTATTTTGTATATGTCGTATGTCTTAAACATTATAGTACAGTTTTGTACCTTTTTGAATTTCAGTTTCACTGGTTTTGGATTGTCAGCTGTAACTGCTTTACTGATTTCCCTCCCAATCCTAAAAGACTCCGCCTTACTCACTCCCTTCAGTAGCACAAACATACTACAGAGACGCAATCGTTCTAATTATAAGGATATTCTAATATTACATTAGCTCACCTATCCGTGTCACCATAGATGACTTTCGCTTGCCACTTTGGTGTGGACTCAACCAATTGGATTGCACGCTCAAGAGTTTCCCGCCCTTTTCTGACAATGCTATCAGCAATCTAAAAAAGAGAGAGGAGAGGTACTGTACATTTTATTGTCAATATTGTGTACATCTACATGAACCATATATACATGTACATCTACATGAACCATATATACATGTACATGTATATGCAGGTACATGTAACATTGGGTGGACCCTACCTCAACGCAAGGCATGCGTCCAGAGTAGTTAGCAGCAGTGTATCCATAAGTGACATTTGCAATTAGTTTGAGTCCTAACTGACGAGCATCAAGTATCCTCTGGAGTACCTGCACAGGAAGTGGGTGTGGTGGATTAATAATTAATCTAATTAAATACTTTATTGTCTTTGTACAGTTTCATGGACTGTTTGATCATTATCCTAGTATTTAGTATCTCCTCTAACATCCTAAGAAAAGAGAGAGATTCACTGTGAACATCTAAAGATCTTATCGATTCTCACTGTGGCATGACTCCTCTTCTAACATCTGACTTTACAAACACTACACCATTAGGAGATATTGTCACACTGTCTTGCAATTGCTACATGTACATGTACATCAAATAAATTAATTAATAATATCTATACCAGTAGAATGTCATCTGGAATACTTAGAGAACAAGTACCAAATTTATATCCATCATTACTAAAAAGAGATAAATATAAAATAAATATAAAATAAAATGATAATAAGATACATGTACATGTACATAAGGATATAACATAATGTACTTGGTGGTGAGATGCTTCACACGTCCCAGACAAGTTGAGTAGCAATAATTGTGAGCTATGACCATTGAGGGATAGAGCGACTGGAAGTCTAAGACTAGAACTGGATCAGTGTAGAGCTTTGACTCAGGCTCCATTATTAGAGGAAGACACTCTGGGGCTGCCATTCTAGGGAGAAAGAAAAAAGGAAAATAGTGAAAGCAGGAATAGGAAATGACTTCAAGCAACAAAAATTAAAATACATGTACTAAAAATGTAAGTACCTTGCTCTTTGCTGAATGCTTGGCGATGCTGCAATGTAATTATACTGCTTAGCTAATCTGAGCATCATAGACTCAACCCTGTACTGTGGAATGGAACGGAAAATGAGAGGAATGGGAATGAGTCTTAAAACCAACCTGAGACCCCCTTGCCAGCACATTATGAAACTCGATCCCATACAGACGAGCCAACTCACTCGTCCGACCGATCAGATTAAACTTCTCCAAAAGAAGACAGTTACCGTAACAATGGGTCATGTAATAATCAACGACTCTGGACCTGTTAAAAAGTGGGTGTGGTCAAGAAACACGCCCACTAATGACACTAACCTGTATAGCCTGTTACGATAGTCATACCATTCAGTTAGTGTCTGATAAGAGAACTTAGGAAGTCTTTGGTAGAGAGTATGGTAAGTGACACTCTCAAATGAATAACTAGTTAAAGACAACTGGAGAGAGAGACGGGGAGAGAGAGGGAGGAGGGGAAAGAAAGAAAGAGAACAGAAAAAGATGTGGTAAATTGATTAAAAAACAAGAGAACTACATGTAAATAGAGGAGATACACTGTACATGTACATGTAAAACACATACTTCTTGTTTCATTGTCCTCCATACGTTAAGTAACACTCTTCCTACCACGTGGATATCAGAGTTGTGTCTTTCCTCAAACCATGCTGCTCCTTTCTTACTCGGGCTTCCACCAGACTTGTCGCTACCACCACGTTCCGGTGTGGTTGCTGTAGGAACTCGGCTTATTTGACCAATCAGATTGATCCCGAGATGGCTCCCTCTCATCTTCAAGTATCCCCAGGAGTTTTTCTGGATTTCATATCCTAGCAAAACGTCCGGATCAACTTGTCTAACCAGTTTCACAAGCTTGTCAAACAGGTTTCTCTCGTTTGATACATAAGTGATATGAATATTGTTGCTTGATAGTCCAGTGTTGTCCAAATAAGGGCGTCTATCTGTATCTGTTGTGTCTAACGCTTCCTGTGCACTTATTTTTGACTGGTTGCCCAATAAAATTTTCGACGGGCTAGAAAATTTTTTTCGCAGACTGGAAAAAGTCTTAGGTGAGCCTTTACCCTTTCCTCCTCTTCCTCTGGCTCCGCCTCTTTTAGTGGGTGTGGTCACTTGACTTGAAGGCTGGGACAGGTCAATTGCAATTATTCCTTTCGTGGCATTCTCTAAGCCACACCCACTAGGGGCCGGCGAGTCGGGTGAGCGTGGCCAGTCATTGTGTATGTAATAGAATATGGCAAGGACCGGATCCCATTCCGGATCAGGATTGAGATTTTCTCGAGTTCTGATATGAAGCTCTAAATGCTCATGAGTGTGATATATTGAATCTACGTGTACATATTGTATAATAAACTTGCAGTAATAATAGTAATGATTATTATTATCATATTAGGACAATGTAATAATACTTGGACAAAGAATTAGAGCCAATTTTTAAGCACTCAAAACTCCGAAAATGTATCATAAATGTGATAAAAATTTTGGATAATTTTGGAGTCATTTCTTAGATAAAGCCATGGGCTATAGTCCATGCTTAAAAAAAATTTGCTAGCATTTAAAAAGTGCTCATAACTCAAAAAATTTATGTCAGAATCAGTTCGAACTTTCTAGAACATCAATATGCATCAGAAAATCTAATAAAAATTGGGGGTGATTTTGGAGCCATTTTTCAGAAAAAACCATGGGCTATAGCCTTGGGTACTTTTTAGAAAATTGGAGTTTTTAAAAAGTGGTCATAACTCAAAAAATTGAAGTCGGAATCAGCTCAAACTTTCTATATAGTATAAGTACATCAATATGTATCAGAAAACGTAATAAAAATTGGGGGTGATTTTGGAGCCATTTTTCAGAAAAAACCATGGGCTATAGCCTTGGGTACTTTTCACAAATTCGGAAATTAAAAAAAGGGCCATAACTCAAAAAATTGAAGTCAGAATCAGCTCAAACTTTCTATATAACATAAGTACATCAATATGTATCAGAAAATGTAAAAATAACTTGTACATGTACATGTTCGTACCTCTGATTCAGTCTCTGGGTCAGTGGTGGGCGTTAATTGGAACCCATACGTATTATCAAGACTGGGCCCGTCTATGATAGAATGTTCATCAGTTGAGGGGGTCCGAAGCTTAGCATCACGAGACACCATATCCTTAGCAACAGTAAAAGAACTGGGTGGGGTCTTGAGAGGCGTAATAATACAGGGTCCCTTGGGCCAATATTGGGACCGTGCCCTGACATCATCCTGATGCTTCTGTGAAGAGTAAAACTCCTAAAAATAAAACAAAAGTCAACATCCAATAAATTGTATATTGAGTCATGAAATTTGATATAACAAATAGTATACTACATGTACATGTAACAAATACATGTAGTGTACATGTACATGTACATTAGCGTACCCCTGGCTGGTTCGGGTGGCAAGGTGGTGGTAGCTGTGTTCCAGTTCCTGTTTCATTGGACAGTGCCAATACTGTCCTCCAGTGACTCAAACTACACCAACTACCAGCAGCAACAGCAGTAGGTGTGCCTTGAATAACAGAGTCTGTATTGAACTCTTTTAATTCATAAGACTAGAAAGGGGGAGAGAGAGAGAGTGGATAAGTACATTTACTAGATACATGTATAAACTTACCATGAGTGAAGGGACACTTATCTTATGACCACCAAAATCTCTAAATAAATAAAAATTACAAATACAAAATATACATGTACACATACAATGTACACTCACTGTGGTTGCTGGACGTCATTAGGATTGCTACAGTGTGCCTTAGTGTATCTAACTGAGGGCATGTCTCCATCTTGTAATATCAGTGATAAAGAAGGAGCTGATTCCAATGGACTAATGACAACACTATCAGCTACCACTGGCCCAGTAATAGAGGGGCTAGGACCAGCTGGATAAAGTACAGCAATTCTTCCCTCTCCTTCTTGTTCTATCTCCTCCTTCTCTTTGCTGTCATTGGTCTTCTCTTCATTCTCTGACTTTTCATCTTCTACCTTTCTTTCTGCATCTTCGATATCCATTTCTATTCTCTCTCCCTCTCTCTCTTCTTCATTACTTGATGACACTGCAAGTGTAAAGTTCTCTGACTTTTCATCTTCTACCTTTCTTTCCGTGTCTTCGATATCCATTTCTATTCTCTCTCCCTCCCTCTCTTCTTCTTCGTCACTTGATGATACTGCGAGAGTAAAGTCCAAGTTGTCATTGTCAGTACTTGAGTCGTGAGGGAGAGGGGAACTGGGAGGAGAGGGGGAGGAAGGGGAGAGAAGAGTGTCTGGGGAAACAAGTGATAGTGAGACTGGAGTGTGTGGAGAGGGAGGGAGAGAGAGAGGAGGAAGGATAGACTCAAGAGAAGGTGGTGTAGGTATTAAAAAAGGCTCAATATCAGTCGCCTCTTCATTTTTAGATAAGGTCTCATCTTGTTCCATTTCCTTTTTCTCTTCTTCTCTTTCCTTCAATTCTTTGTCTTCCATTATTCTCCTTCGTTTCTCATCTTCTTTAAGTGTCTTAAGTGATTGAGCGATTGCTAACGCAACCAGTTCCTCTTCCCTAGAATGCAAACACAGTCTCTTACGACGAGTGCCAGTAGCTTCTGCTCCTCTTCTCTTTAAGCCACGCCCACTAGACTTACTATCAGCCACACCCTTGGACTTAGTAGTATCTCCGTCCGTTTCATCTTTGGGCGGTACCGAAGCCTCCCTGTCTCTTAAAGCCGGCAAATATTTCTCACTGTCTTCACGAGAGAGTCTCCGAATCTTTGGAACCAACGAATTATTACGAGCTCTTTCCGCAAGCAACGATGAATCAAGAATGGGCGTGGTTTCACGTGATACAACCAGGGGCGTGGCATCACGAGACTTAGAAGGAGAGGGTTTCCCATAAAAAGAGAGAGAGGGTTTCCTTTTCCTTAAACTGAGGGACTTGGAGACATAATGAGAAGAAACTGGTTGAGTCTGAGAAGTTGATTTACTATCCTGTGACAAGACCAAAGGATTAGTTGATGATAGACTAGTGGTAGTGAGATTAGTGCTGGTTGGAGAGAGAGAAGGAGGAGAAAGGGAGAGAGAGGGAGAGGAGGAGAGAGGAAGGGAGGTCAGAGGAGGAGGTTGTACAGAAGGAGTGTTTAGTGTACTATCTCCTTTTTGTTCACTACTACTGCTTGTTGTTGTTGTTGTTTGTTTGATTGTTTTCTTTCGTGAGAGTTTTAGTGATTTTCTACCGGTTGCACCGTCCAACTGTGGTATAAAGTCCACCTTTGGGTGTGGCCTAAAACAATAACATAATAACTATAATAACTACTGCAATCATTATTATTGTACATACGTGTCATGTACGTCTTGATCATCAGAAGTTACGATTTGCGTCATTTCCAATTCCTCATCCTCCTCTCTCTCTCCCTCTCCTTCCTCCTCCTCCTCCTCCTCCTTCTCTTCCTCTTCCAAGAACAACTGAATAAGATTTCGTCTTTCTTGATACGACAATTGAGAGGAGGAGCCAGTAGGTGTGGCCTCTTGACTGGACGGCGAGACTCCTCTAAGCTCTTCCAAACACAAGGAGAGGTCTAGCATGTTTTTCAAGCATGACTGGCTCTCTTGACTGCCTTGTCTTAAAACCAACTGACCACAAGGTATATCAGACTCAATACTGACCCCTCTCACTCTCCCTCCCTCTTCCTCCATAGACACAATACTGTTGTCCTGATCAGCCACTAGAGTAATGTCCCCAGTACTGTTATCCTGATCAGCCATTAAAGTAGTGTCCCCAATATTGTTATCCTGATCAGCCATTAAAGTAGTGTCCCCAATATTGTTATCTTGGTCAGCCATTAAAGTAGTGTCCCCATCTTCCCCTCTATCTCTACTGCTGAGGTCAGGGAGTGAACCAGTAGTTGATATGATAGGAGAGAGATGAATGATTGGTTCATTATTATTAGCATCAGTGTTAGTATCAGTGTTAGTGTTAGTTTGTGTTTGAGTGAGTGGGAGAGGGGAGGGTGAGGATGAGGCATTGAGTAAATCAAGTAATACTTCAGCAATGTCTGCCTCACTGGAGCTGACTAGAAGAACAATAATAATAATCATGTATACTCAATACTCAATTACAGGAAGAGTAGGTAACAGTGTAACTTCTAAAATAGAGAATTCTCTCCTAGCAATTTTTGACAAATTAGTACAGTGTCCATGCAAGGACACTGTGTAGCACACTTATTAAGGCTATCATACATGGAGCAACGTTGTTGCTTGAAACTTTGTGGTTACTTTGATCTTGTTGCCTCAAGTTGACCA